CATTGTCTCCAAAGCTTGCAAGCTTGACTACCATGTCGTTCGACTGAGCAGATTTTGCATGCCATATTTTGGAAATGAGATTAGTGAAGTTGGCAAAGAGCTCTTATCCGAGTATGGGTTCGCTTTGTCTGATTTTTCGTCTTACACTTCGCTCGGTTTCTCGACTCAGACCTTCTCAAAACAAATCACTACTCCTTCAAGCCTCTGCCTGACAATTTGCTCAAAGGCAGTGTCCGGACAAGGTGAGGTTTTAAATTTCCAGGGCCCTGCGAAAATAGGCCCCGCGGACATGTCATCGAAACTGCGAAGCTATAATGTTTGACCAGAAGCTTGAAATACGAATCTCTGCAGCAGAGTATGCATGCCGCCACAGCCAAAATCATAGGATCCCGAAGCGACTCTGCGTCTCTGTCTTGGCGGGACAATCCAATCTCGAATGGTAAGGTAAAAAACACATGTTCTAGCCGTTTTCGCGCTTTACGTGGATTTTTGAATTCAGCGTTGGGATAACTTAGGTATGCGAATTTGCTAGAAATGGAGTTCTTGAGCGGACTGCTTTCACTTTTCTCACGTGACAATTACAAAGATCGATAGGCGAACTATTGCCTAAATCTGATAAAATGGTGCCTCAGCTGAGCTCGATTTTCTAATTGTCACTCGTACTCGCGCCGTGCAGGGGCTGGCTCAAAATGGGAGAAATCGTACATGCATAGTTCGGTACTATTCCACATAAGTTGCCAAAAAATGAAAATCGTGAATCTCTCTAAAACTTCGTCTAGGGGGGTTATTTGGTACGCTGAACACGAATATGATGTTTATTTCGTGCAACAGCACCATCCGGTGGAGTTACGGTAGGATTGCGGTAGGGGGTCAAAATCACGGATTTGCCCGAAATTTGGCTCAGAGGGGTTATTCGGCCCGCTGATGCCAAATATCACATTGATTTTGAACCGTAGCGTCATTCTATGGTGGATACACGGTAACGGGTGTAAAACATAGTTCATCTCGAAACAGGTGTATGGAGATTCGGATGATCGTGAAGCTTTGCACACATGACCACCGCCGCGCGCTACACATTCTGCTGCGGCTTTTGCCTAAGCAAAGCAGGGGAAAGATACATTTGCCGGTTTGTGATTTTGACCCCTACCGTAAACCTACTGTAACCATGCAGGGAGACGTTTTCGTGCGGAGAAAGTGTGACATTTCTAATCAGCATGTCGAACAAAACCTCTGTGCAAAGTTACAGCGAATTTCGAGATTTTGACCCCCTACCGTATACCCACCGTAACTCGAGAAAATGACACTACAGTACGAAACCAATGTGATATTCGTCGTCAGCGGGCCGAATAACCTCTCTAGGCCAAGTTTCGGCCAAATCCGTGATTTTGACCCATTACTGTAATCCTACCGTAACTCCACTGGATGGCGCTGTCGCACGAAATAAACATCATATTCGTGTTCAACGTACCAAATAACCTCCCTAAACGAAGTTTTAGCGAAATTCACGATCTTCATTTTTTGGGTCAACTTATGTGGAATAGCGCCCATAGTTCAGTGCTGCTCTGACCGATTTTTGTCCAGAACAGTAAAAATTAATTTGCCAACAGCCAGCAAACAATTTGGGTTCATTTCTATGAAATGAAAGACAAGTGCGGTTCATGCGGGTGCTGTAGTGTACTACATTGGGCTACCCGACAGGAGTTCACTTCGGCAGTTACTTTTTATGTTTTGATAAACCCGTTTCCAATCTCTGACTGAATAGCTTCGCGAGGAAGAAGAATCTGGTGATTGAAGCCAGTGCGGATTGAAACTATGAAACAGCGAGCAAGTTTCGCCTTCGGAATTTGAAAAATTGGTCAATTTCCGTGTGAGTCGTTCTATTGACTACTTCCATGCCTCTCGTTGTTCTTTCTTCTCGAAAATGAAAATTTGTTGCAGCGGAGAGAAGAGAAGCCCAGCGAGGCCGTTTTCATTCCGAAGCCCATATCCAAATTTCCTAATCCTATATTCCCCTTCCAGTGGCATCTCAATTTTTACTGAATTCCCCACAATGAACTTTTAGAAGGACCTTCTGCTGTTGACGATCTCCTCCAAGTCTTCGTAAAGAGTATCTAGTTTTCATTCACCAGCTGCTGATGTTTGTAGGTAGGAGATGATGTTGCTGTCTTCCAAAGTAGAGGTCGTAGATGTAGGATGGCCATTCGAGATGAAGGATCTTACAAGAGTCGGCAAGATGGAAGATAGATGGGTGGGCAACAAGCCCAACGCCTCCAACCTTTCGTGAGGGAAACTTTGGTACTTTTCCGTTATCCGGACCCATTTTTTCAAAGAAGGGTATTGCTTTATCCTTATGCCAAATTCGGTTCCAGCCTCATAGGAATGAGTGTCAACCTTCTGCAACGTGCAAAAAAAATTGACATGTCATCAACTGTTTACCAGATTTTACTAAGAGTTTGTTTTGCCCTACCTAGCAATGTGAGTACAATCTTTTTTTTTAGTCAGTTTTGATCTCGTTTCGATCACACAGTTTCAAAGTAAACATCGTCATAATAATAATGACATACTGTCACCTTGAACAGATCAAACTTGCTCAGGATAGAGAAGTAGGTTAGGATTCCGTCACTTAAAGGCAGCGTCCAGGCAGATCTGGACTTACGGGGATTTTACATGGAAAGTACTTTTGGGGCCCTAACTAAGGCACTGCCCAAGCGGCAGCGAAGGTAGTGCTCTAACGGCTGAGATATTCCCCTCGAAACTGGACCCCGCGATCGTATTCGCATGGATTCATGGCAGTTTCGCGCCAGGATCCACGCTTTGAGCCATGTAAAATCCCCGTAATACGAATTACGATCGCGGGGTCCAGTTTTAAGGGGAATATCTCAGCCGTTAGAGCACTACCTGAGCTACCGGTTGGGCAGTGACTTAGTTAGGGCCCCAAAATTACTATCTACGTGAGATCCCCATGTATCCAGACTTGCCTGGACGCTGCCTTTAAGAAACGAAATAAGCCACAGCAAGGTACTTCAAGCTATTAATTACGACTTTTCGGTTAAATTTGCATGGCGAAAAGAAAGAGACATATAATTCTTAAATCACTGCTGGAAGCATGCAGAATGTTCCAGAATAAGTTCATGATTGTTTTGTTCATTACAAATTCTTTTTTATCTTACCGGGAATGATTTTGAAAAAAACATGTCAAAATGGGACAAAACGTGTCAAATTTTTCGTGACACGTGGCAAGGAGGCAATCAACGTATTAGAATCTATGGAAAGTCGTTCATAGGCTAACGAATGTATAATATAAGAGCCTTTTGAAAAAATGGGTCCGGATAACGGAAGAACCGAAACTTTTCCCACTACGAATGATGAGGATCATTACTCATTTGTCACACGTCCTTATTCCTGTTCTTTATTTCCCGCGGAGCGCTCACGTGGTACTTGTTATGCTCTGCAGCGTTGAAAGTGCGTGGCGCTTCTTGAAATTGTCTTGCTTTGGATGTGCAGACCGAAGACAGTCTCCATAATGTGCCGTCACAGAATTCTCGTTTTTGTCCTTGGCACTGAGCACCCTAATGTTCTTATCATCACCCGGCGCGTTACCGGGATTCGATGCGCAGGGTTTTCTCGTGATTTTTATGTTTAACTAGCTGGCTTACCCGGCTCCGCCGTATGTTCCCAATAGAAAATTCCTTTCTTAACCGATCCGGACCAAACTTGGCACACATGCACTTCGGGCCCCGGCGGGTGTCACAGTCCACTTTTCGTTATCGATCAATGTCGATTTTATCGATTTTTTGCAAAATTTGAGCTAGAGGGCCGGAATTTGGCAGAGGGGTGTAATCGAGCATGCTGATCACTCCCACGGGGGTGATCAGCATGCTCGATTACCCCCCTGTGCCAACTCCCAGCCCCGTAGCTCGAATTTTGCAAAAAATCGATAAAATCGATATCGATCGATGACGAAAAGTAGCCTATGACACCCGCCGGGCCCGTAGTGTATGTGTGCCAAGTTTGGTCCCGATCGGTTCAGAAATGGAATTTTCTATTCGGAACATACGTACAGACAGACATACAGACATACAGACAGACATACAGACAGACAAACAGACATTCAGCTTTATATATAAGATGAGTAAACTCCCCGACAAGAGCAGACTTATTAAGCCGTGCTTTTGTCTTCCTAAGGCAATTCCCGACTCCTATATGAAGTCTGTACCGCCGTAACTCTTACCTATGGCCAGATGAGCGAATAGCTGTTAGCTAAGCATCCACCAAAGTCGACGGTTACAACGTCTAACTCCCTTGAGAACCTGACAGAATATACACTCGATTGTACATCACAGTTCGACACCCTATCACTCACGCAACGTTGAGGCGACAGACCATAGTAGGGCGGCCCTACGTTTGACCGTGATGTCGTTCGCGAAGGCCTTCGCCAAGCAATTGGAAAACATCTTGTTTGATATGTATAGAAACAAAGTAACTGTCTACTGTGCACAATAGCCTCGCTAGCTTTTGTCCAGAAAACACATCAGAACACCCAAGTGCCTTTGTACTTTATTGAAGTGAATAGTGAGAGCTCTTTCTAATAGATAAATTGACGTTATTATTGCGTAGTACCCTGCGGCATTTTTTTTTCTCCAAAATCTGCAGCGTAACTTCTGATAAAATTTGATTTGACACTATTGTTGCACTTTTAAGCGAAAATTGCCTGAAAACTAGCTCAACTTGCAAAAATGCGATTTGGTCGTGGTGGAATTGGCTAGCATAGATTCTGTACGAATTGTAATTACTCAGTGTGCTATTCTATTTGTTGTTGAGGGGTTCGCGGGAAGCTGGCTATGAGACGTTCAGAATGTATCGGTGGTTCTAGGCTTTATAGTAGCCTTAGGCGAAATAGCGCCTGGTAGAGTATGTTATGCAGAACACATTAGCTAGTAAGCTTCATGAGCAGGCGACCTGCACTCGTGGTCTGTGGTAGAATGCTGACGGTAATAGGTATGGCTACGTAAGTTACTAGGCTCTGGGCAGTAAACAGACTTATATCACTGCAGATCAGGTTATGGCATGACCTTTACGGTACTTATTCAATTATTATTATTCAATGAGATACAGGCGAAGTGATATGGAACTAAGGAGGTGCCTACAATAACGGTACACAGAACACCATGTGCAGTAGATCATCAGGGAATTTTTTTGGGAGCAAACAATCGTGATCGTTCTGTACACGGCAGTGCTTCTATAACCCATGCGATCCCAAATTGTAGCTTAAGGATTATACAAAGTACTGTTGAAGCGAAAATCAATTTGTTTCCCCCTCTTATAAGGGGCAACATTAATGTATATGACTTTTGACGTAAACTGTTCACAAGCAAGGAGTTCTATGTTTACAGTGCATCACATGATCTGTCTGAAACGTCCGCCACACAAGCTGAGCGAAATGCCCACGAAGATGAGCCGTGGTACCACGGTCTGTTACCTCGAGAAGATACCAATAGGTAGGTAGAATAAGTTGCAGAGTTATGCTTATCTGTGGTAATTTGTCATTCAAGGCTTCTGACTAACAATGGTGACTATCTAGTGCGCTTAACGGAACCAGAACCAGGAATGGTAACTGACTACGAAGACTGATAGGTGCTTTACATACATGTTTTCAGGGCATGAGGACAGTGCTATCCGCCCGATGGAAGGATAAAGTACAACACTTTGTAATCAACGAAAAAGATGGTATGCTGCTGTATAAACGAATAAACCATGAAAGTGAACTTTTAGGAAAATATTTTATCGATAAGGAAAAATTCCGAACAATCTTAGAATTAATTACATTTTATGCTACTGAACAGAAATCAGTAACGGAGCAAACAGAGGCTATTCTCATAACACCAATACCAAAACAAGAATGGGAATTCAAGCATGATTGGGTGAGAAACACAAATTTATCAGAGTCTCCTGAGGAAGCGAAGGCGCAGTCTTTGAACTAGAGAGGTGGCTAACGTTAGAAACCTCAGAAATACTTTGCATTCTCGAGCATTCTACTTGGTAAAAATCGCATATGCAACACAGTAGCACTAGGTACAGCAATTTTCTGGTGCTTCCTACTGCTTTGAAGCTCTTGGTAGAAGAAACTTCGAAATTTACTTGGGAGCTTCACTTTCCGTTCTTGAGCGAAAATCTGCGATAGCTACTTCTATTTTTTTGAGACTGTAGCTGCAAAAATCTGCAATCTACGTAGCACACGCCTGGAGTTAAGAAAAGCTATTTCAGATCAAATTGGGAAGGAAATTAGGAGAGGGAGCCTTCGGCGGTGTCTATGCTGGTGTTTTGACATTAGGAAAGAAAAGATATGATGTTTGTTTTTGAGTCTTTCCAAGCAAACGCACTTCGAAAAAAGTCTTTGGATTCTAGGTTGCTGTTAAAGTCAGTAAAGCAAGTGAGGTTACAAAGAAGATTATAGCTGAAATCTGTAAAGAAGCACGAATTATGCGGAGATATCGACATCCGAACGTCGTGAGATTCTATGGAGTAGCTGTTGAGCACGTAAGCGCTGGATATCTAATAAAGAGTCAAATTAGCAATGCTTTCACAAATGGCTTGAGTCTCAAAAATTGAGCATAACATAATTTGATAATTTAGCTGTATAATTACGTCTACTTGTGCTTTCAATATCTTTAAATTTGTTTTCCTACTTCTCCCGTTTGCTTTGCTTTTGTGAAAGAGCGATTTGAAAGAGCGTCATCTTACTCTGAGGAGTTGATAGTGCTGCCGCTCAACTCAGAAATAATTTGGAGGGGTTTGTCGACAGAATTAGAGCGCACTTTACTATGCACATGAACAATCCTTGTAATGAATACTATGACAAATTTTGGATGTGTATAAAGCTTTATGGGCTCAAAACTTTTGCCCACCTAGTACTGCAACTCGATTGGTTTTGCACGTTGCTTACGGGGCTGTGGCGCTTCAATTTGTAAGAAGAAATCGTTGTGTACATTACTGAACTAATTGCAGGAGCCAGTGATGCTAATCATGGAGATGGTGAATGGTGGTGCTCTTGATGTTCATTTAAGAAAACAAGCATCAAGTATAACTCTGAAAGACAGGGTACTTACGTTCCTATATTGCAACTAGTTACTATGTGCTTGAGAGCACATTTACATTTCAGCTGCGATATGCATATGGCGCCTCCAAAGGTTTAGAATATCTCCACACAAACGATTGTCTGCATAGGGATGTTGCTGCAAGGTGAGCACCCGGCACGATCTATGTGGTTCGGTTTATATTCCACTTTTTAACTCCTACTGTAATAGCCGCTAGAAATGCGGAATGGCTTCATAATCTGCAAATTTAACAGCTTTTATGCAAATGAAGGTTACGAAAACTTTTTTAGAGAGAAGAGACTTTTGGAAAATATTTGGTTTCTGAGACTCTTTCGCATTCATAATTTCTTTTTAGGAATTGTCTGATCGATGACGACGAAGTAAAACTAAGCGACTTTGGTTTATCAAGGGAGCTTTCGAACCGCGCCAAGAAGTACACTTTAAGGGTACGCTCAAACAATCACACTGCATGACAGAGCTTCTGCAAAGCAATAATGGAGTCTCAACATAAATTTTCATGCGTTAATCGATTTAGTGTCTTAGAGAAACTGTAGTGCGAGTTTTAGTAGGACACCAGTAACATCATATCACTTCTTGATATGATTTGTATCTGGTAATTGGGGAATTTGCCTTTCCAAAGTGAATGTTTTTTCCCAGAGCTCTAAATCAAATGAATACTAATTCATGGGCAATATACATAGGCATTTCGGACCATTTGTTTGTTCACGATGTGCAAGATTGAGTTGTTGCAATTATAAGCGCATCTTCTTGAGTAGAAGAATCTAGACTTATAACGACTGTTTAGAACTACGCGTAATTTCACGCGTATAAGGCGCACTTTTTTGATTTTTCAAGCGAGCCGCGCAGCCGCCTCACTGTGTTCCGGGAAAAGATCCTTATACCGCACAATTTTCTTAGGCAGTATACAGCACATTATAGGGTCCTTTGTTGTAAAGCCCTTTGGCGTGTCTGGGCTGATTGATTTTGGAAAAAAAATTCACCGCGCCTTATACGCGTGAAGTTAGGGTAATTCAATGCTTCCTGATCAAATGTCATAGAGAATTGCTTGAAAACTACTCATCATAAAGTAATAGTGTCGGTGACTCATCAATATCGGCGTTTTCCAGGATCTAAAACAAAAACTTCCAATTCGTTGGCTTGCACCGGAAGTAATTAGCTCTGGCACATACTCCAAGAAAAGCGATGTATATTCATTTGGAGTTTTGTTATGGGAGGTTTGTTATATTAGGTCATTCCGAAAGTAATTCCGCTTTTTTCAAGCGGACTTCACATGTGATGGAACAAAAAGATCTTGGAGGCATTCGATGCAGAATTTTATTCTCTTTCTAATGGTTATGAAAATGTTGCAAAACAGTCAATGAGCTTTCAGAAAATAACCAAAATCTGCGACCCATGCTTTTTGAGATGGTCAAGTTCCACGATTTTTTAAAACTTTCATATCAATCCTCAGAATGATTCAAGCAACGATTCGATAGAGTAAACCTTATAGAATACAGTATGTTTTTTTCTCTTTCTCTTGTTTCGCCGTAATTTTTTGAAAGATTTTTCAACAGAACCATCGGATTTTGGCAGGCCCACCTCAGCCACAATCGCATCAAACATCATAATTTTTCGGAATTTGAGACTACCAAATGGTGCTATGAGATAGCATTAATTTTACAAAGCAAGTGAGGATTTACGGGTCCAAAATATCATACTTCGAGTTTTTCGGGTACAGCCTGGGGCTCGCTAAAAAAAAGTGAGTTATGATGATTTCTCCCCGGAAACTAAACGAATCGGAAACAAAATTACCTGTTAGAAAGAGATGAAAATGCTGCATCGAATAGTGCGCGAGCTGCTCTTCTTTTGATGTTCTACGAGCATTTAGCGTTCCAAGTATGAAAATCAGTAGCATCAGTTAAAATTCTGTTAAAAATGTATGACAAGCTATGGAAAGGAGAAAAAAGTAGTACTGTATTCTGTAAGGCTCACTCTATTAAACCTTCACTTGAACACCTTCTGAGGACTGATAAGAAAGTTTTAAAAAATCGTGAAACTTGACCATCTTAAAAAGCAGGGTCGCAGATTTTGGTTATTTTCTGAAAGCCATCGAATGTTTTGCAACAATTTCATAACCATTAGAAAAAGAATGAAATTCTGCATCGAATGCCGTTAAGGTGTTTTAGAAATCTTTGTTCCATTACAAGTGGCGTCCGTTTGAAAATGCGAAATTACTTTCGGAATGACCTAATATTATTGTATGTTGAATGGAATGTTGGTCATTCGCTTTTGGACACTTGTTATTTTGCAAAGTGGGTTGATAATTCTACTTTTACTCATAAAAATCTCAGAACAACAGATGGCATGTAAATCTATCACATCCTACTACCAGCTGCTCGATTTTTTTCCTTTTTTAAGGCCAAAATCTCTCAGTGAGTCGAGGAGCTAGTTGTTACTCCAAGGATAGTCTCACCTGAGCGTTGAGATTAACAACCCGTTCCAGAGTAATGTTCATACATTGCAAAATAATGAATTGTGTTGCAGATCTACAAAGATGGTGAACTGCCCTATGCGGATATGTCAGCACAAGAAGTGTCAGCAAACGTAAGTCCTTTGTCGTTTCTATGTCCCACCTATATTAGGTTGTCCCGTAAGTCTTCTCAAAACCGAACCTTCAAAAAGCTTTAAGGACTATGGCACTTTCAAGGGCTCAAATTCGAGGCATATCCGAATGAACAAGCTGTGTAATCACGTTTTTGTGAGGAACACAGAGTTTCTACACGCGAAGTTCGAAAATTAAGCGCACTATTTTTTCTTAATTCCTAGCATTAAAAAAATACAGCAGGTGTGGACATAAATAACTGATGGGGAGAGTAAATTCGTGTGCATGTAGGAGGTTCGCAAAAATTCTTAAACTGAGAAACAACTTTGTTCTTTCTTTCTGAGCCATACACGAGATTGGTAACTTATTATTTATTCACTCCACGGCTAACGTTTCGGCAAATCGCCTTCGTCAGAGCCTGTAAGGGACAAAACGATTTGCAGCCGATTCGAACAAGTATCTTTACAGCTGAACAGATGAAGCGCTAAACCTTGCTTTCGATCACTAATTCAGCTGCACGCACAAGCACGTACCCTCTGGATTACGACGATACTTCCCTATTAGAGAGAAAGTCGGAGGTTCACGTCGTCCACTGCTGGAGAAAGTTGGACTTGTTAGATGTGTATGCAGACTGCTCTTTATATACTGTCAGATCAAAATAACTGATCAAGATAAGGCGAGAGTTCATGCGTAATTGCTAGGTTTTCCTCCTTTCGATTCATTTTTGGGTTCTTTGCGTGAATCCAAAATGCTTCCAGACACTTACATGCCTGTGTTTGGGATTCATGTGCTAAGATTCTCACCGAAATTCCAAAGTTTGATCCTGCATGTTGCAGCACTCTGTGGGTGCCTAGGGGTGTCGTTGTACGTGCTTTATCTCTGCCGTCCAAATGTCTTTAATGCGGATACATAGTGGTCTTGCCGTTTCACCTATGTATTCGTCGCCGCAAATCGTGCATGAGATTAAGTAGATGACTCCAGTCGTCATGCAGTCCCCTTCTCTACCTGTAGGGCAGATTATACAATTGGGGGCGAGGCAGTTGCGATCATACAAGCGATTGCGAACTAGAATGGTCTTCAAGTTATTTGGTGGTAGTTCTACAATCGTAACCAGATTTTCAAATCCTACTCGCTTCAAGCATTGTCGTAATGCTGTGCTTACTTCTTTCGATATGTATGGAACGCAAAACGTAACTTTTTTGACAACGTGAGGGTCAGCTATCTGCACGCGATCTTTATCACTCCTCTTTGTTCTTCCTGCATGATGTTTGTATCCGTTAGAAACCGCTATAATACGGGCAAGCGCTATCGGTTCTGCCTTCTCTTTCGGACCACTGCAGACTTAAGAAGCAGTGCGAAACATGTTGTTAATAATTGCCCTCTTTGTCCATGGTGGGTGAGCCGAAAGCGATTGAACAAGAATGTTTTTGTTACTAGGCTTACTGTACCATTTTGTAACGTGCACACCAGAAGCGATATTAACCTGCACATTCAAGAATGGTAGCCAGTGATCTTTCGGCTTCTCTCTTGTTAGCTGTATATATTGAGATTGCTCATTCAACAATTTGAAACATTTGTCCATGTCTTCTTGAGAGGCATAGACTATAAAGCAATCGTCAATATAGCGGCAGTATAACAAAGGGCAGCCCAATACCGGTGTTTCAATTTTGGCCATGTAAGCTATCGCGAGCGTGGGAGCTAACCTTTGTTCCATGGCTAACCCTCTTTTCTGCGCATAATAGCTCCCGTGCCACTTGAAAACGTTACAGTTCAGACATGCTTGCAAGAGGGTCATAATTTGCTGTATAGAGAGTCCGTAGAGATTGACAGAATTTTCGTTTTCTACAAGGAGCTCATGGACAGCTTGCAATGCAGATTCTTTTCGAACATTTGTGTAAAGTGGATTGACATCGAAAGACTCTATGATGCACTCGCTATTTATGCATGTTCCGCGGAAACGTTCCAAAAACATTTTCGTGTTGGCCAGGTGAGAAGGAATGAATTTGAGTAGCTGTGTGAGTATTAATGTAATGAACCACCCAGTTCTATCCGTTGGTCCTCCTATGCAACTTATGATTGGTCTCACCTTGAAATCAGAAGGACTAATAGAGGCAAAATTTTGGTCGGAACTGAGCTTATGCGTTTTTATTAATAGGTACACAACGGGGCACGCCGGTAGATCTATTTTGAGACGCGCAATGATATCGTGAGACTTATTCGCTGCTTTCGCTACTTCAACCCATTTCTTGTTGAGCTCGCGATATTGTTTTTGGAATTCGTCAACGCAAGCAGGTCGATAAAGCGAAGCGTCTTCTAGGTGTAATTTTGTTATTGCAACGTCTAAGTGGTGAGGTATAATAACGAACTCGCCACCTTTATCGCTTACAGTTAGTCTTATTTGCGATGATCTTATCAATTCTTGTATTTGTTTCATGCCCTGTTTTTGAAATTGAGAGAGGTTAGACTTTATTTTACGTTGGCGTACCCGTGTTATCAGTTTGAAAACTTCGTCTGCAAAGAGACGGAATCTGACATCGACACTGGGGTTGGCACTTTGTTGTTTAAAGAAGTTACTCGGGAAAGGTAGTGATAATGTATGAGAAGACTTTGAATTCTCGCTCTCATTTTCTAGGTTTGCGTGCCTGCGAAGCTTATTTTGTAGGTCATGTAGACTGCAAGTAATTTTGCACAAGACTACTTTGGAGATTGGCTGTGAAGGTGAGAAACTCGGCCCTAACTTTAGAACAGAACGTGCATTTGCGGAAAGGGGAAAACCTCCAATTACAGTTACTCTTGATGTTGATTGGCAGTCTGAGGTATTAGCCGACCCACTTTCGCTCTTATCTAGAGGTGATATGGAGTTTGGCTCGCTGGCGGCTTTATTTCGTGATCTATTTACAAGGGTCGAACTTCCTCTGCAAAGTTGTTTTGACACTAGATCGAAGTGGTCGCAAATCGAAATTGAAGCACCTACTGTTCTTTCCAGAGACGATCTTCAAGGAAGCGTGAACAACATAACTCTTTGGAAGTACATTTGCATAACCAAGTGTACATTTGATCTTTCTTGCGACGTAGCGCAATACGTAAGAGTCGGAGTTCTATACAGAGTAAAGCGGGGGGTGCGGCACGCCGCAGGGGGGGGGGGGTCGTTAGGGGGGGGGGGTTAGGTAGGGGGGGGGGGTCGTATCGACCCAAGGTCAAAAGCACTTGTACAAGCTGTGTGACTAAATTGACTTGATGAAAACGCTGTTGAAATCCTGCAAAATTCAAGTTCAACGACACAAACTTGCAGATACCGTATGCCTACCGTAACCTACCGTACCTCTAATCAAGCATAATTGTCGTAATCCGCGTGTCGAATAACCCCTATGCGCCAAGTTTCAGCGAACTCTGAGGTCTCCGAGCAGTAAACAACCTTGTATAAAGCAGTAATTTAAAACATGATTAACTTCATCTTAACGGTGAGTAAGCTACCTCTTCTTGCACTCAATACAAAGCACTACTCCTTCTTCGTCCACCTCAGGAATCCCGCTTCAGAAGACCTCCAAACTATTGAATTGGAAGCCAACCAAAATCTCGTTTTTCCCATTTTTCGCTTTTGATCGCTGTGCTTTCACCAAATATTACTCAGAGCTAAGAAGACGAATCAGGCTCAAAACATTCCTATGGAATCTACGAGGTTTAGGCTATTGATTCATATAAATATTGTCCGCTAAAAATGTTTTTTTGATATAGTTAATGGCCTGCGGCACCCCCCCCCCTCAAAACCTGCGGCTGCCGCAGGTTTTGAGGGGGGGGGGGGGGGTGCCGCAGGCCATTAACTATATCAAGAAAAAAAACATTTTTAGCGGACAATATTTATATGGATCGATAGCCTAGATCACTTAGTTTTCACAGGAGTGATTTGAGCCTGATTCGTCTTCTCAGCTCTGAGTAATATTTGGTGAAAGCACAGCGATCAAAAGCGAAAAATGGGAAAAACGAGATTGGTTGGCTTCTAATTCAATAGTTTGGAGGTCTTCTGAAGCGGGATTCCTGAGGTGGACAAAGAAGGAGTAGTGCTTGTATTGAGTGCGAAAACGGATAGCTAATTCACCTTTGAAACAAAGTTAACCATGTTGGAATTTGACCATTTCACTTAGGTAGCCTAGTACTTGAATCTTCAGAATTCGCTCAAACTTTGTCTACAGGGGTTAATTGACATGCTCATTATGGATATGTTGCCCATTATGTTTGACAGGGCCTCCAAGTAATGCTATCTCAAGGGTATAGTCCAGGGGGGGGGTCTTATTAAGACAGCAATCAGGGGGGGGGGGGTCGTAACCAGCGATCGTGTGCCACACCCCTTGCTTGACCCTGGTTCTATAGCTCGTACTTGATGATGATTCTCTGGTAAACCGCACAGTTCGTGTATCCGTTTGTTTGCTATGAAGTTCGGGATAACATGATGTTGAAGACATCGGTTAAGAAAACAGATGGACTGTCTTGTTGAGACGATTTTTTGTCGTAAAGACAGAGCTTCCCTCACGAGTCGCTTGTATTCGGCTGGTATATCGCATAATAATTGAATGGTGCGACTTTCAATGAATCTCGGCATGATGACAATACTTAACGGATACAAACATCATGCAGGAAAAACAAAGAGGAGTGATAAAGATTGAGTGCAGATAGCTGACCCTCATGTTGTCAAAAAAGTTACGTTTTGCGTCCCATACATATCGAAAGAAGTAAGCACAGCATTACGACAATGCTTGAAGCGAGTAGTATTTGAAAATCTGGTTACGATTGTAGAACTACCACCAAATAACTTAAAGACCATTCTAGTTCGCAATCGCTTGTATGATCGCAATTGCCTCACTCCCAATTATAATCTGCCCTACAGGTAGAGAAGGGGATTGCATGACGACTGGAGTCATCTACTTAATCTCATGCACGATTTGCGGCGACGAATACATAGGTGAAACGGCAAGACCACTATGTATCCGCATTAAAGAACAACACAGGCACATAAGTGTCTGGAAGCACTTTGGATTCACGCAAAGAACCCAAAAATGAATCGAAAGGAGGAAAACCTAGCAATTACGCATGAACTCTCGCCTTATCTTGATCAGTTATTTTGATCTAACAGTATATAAAGAACAGTCTGCATACACGTCTAACAAGTCCAACTTTCTCCAGCAGTGGACGACGTGAACCTCCGACTTTCTCTCTAATAGGAAAGTATCGTCGTAATCCAGAGGGTACGTGCTTGTGCGTGCAGCTGAATTAGTGATCGAAAGCAAGGTTTAGCGCTTCATCTGTCCAGCTGTAAAGATACTTGTTCGAATCGGCTGCAAATCGTTTTGTCCCTTACAGGCTCTGACGAAGGCGATTTGCCGAAACGTTAGCCGTAGAGTGAATAAATAAGTTACCAATCTCGTGTATGGCTCAGAAAGAAAGAACAAAGTATTGTCATCATGCCGAGATTCATTGAAAGTCGCACCATTTAATTATTATGAGAAACAATTATTTTTATTTTTTTTCTAAAGTTCAAAACCTTTTTTATTTCGGCTTGAAACTCAATGCGAATCAAGCTTTTGCTCATTTAAAAACACCATCTTGCAGAGCTCGGATCTATCGTTGATACCCCGCACCCCATTTATCTATCGCTTAATACTCAGCATCCCATTAATCTGATTAGGATAGGATTCCAAATCGCAGTAACATTCTAGGACGAAATGCATATCAGCGGATGCTTATTGCTGAGCTGAATCTATCTATCCTTCTTATCTGCTGCGGAGTTCTCTGGAAGAAGTCATGAGCGCTGAAATGTCCAGATATGTCAAAAGTCCTGAGCACTCTTTCAAGAATTAACTTTGTAAAAACACTTATATGATTCTGCTCATTGTGCGCGTTGTTTGTAGTACTAAACATCTTGCCATATGCACTTCCAAGTTGATCTGAATGCATATCATGCATCAAGGCTAATGACTTCACACTTATGACCTCACAAAGCTTCTTCCAGAGAATCCCGCAGCAGATATGGAAGGCAGATTTGAAATAGCTCATCAAGACTCATCTAATTATGTGCATTTCATTCCACTTCTGACCTGCGATTTGCAAGGAATCCATCCCTTGTAAGAAAAATTGACTTACATGGGTGAAGATTTGAATATGAAAAGACTTATGGCAACTTGATAGCTTGCGATCGATCGCGTTGGATGTTAAACATAATGTAACTCTTTAATAATGGAAAGCTCACACACGAGAAGGAAAAGAAACTTATGATGAAACATTTATTTAGGTAGCGTCTGGTTATCGATTAGCTCCTCCTCCTAAAATGCCTAAATCCATACGATTGATTATGGTTAATCAGTGCTTTCCAGCGAATCCCGACGAAAGGAGCAAGATGTACCAGGTGAATTTGAAAACTTTGCTGCTGGAAAGATAAAGTAAAGGTTTTAGATTCGAATATCTCTAGAAGAAGCAATGCAACCATCTTCAGAACGATAGTGTCTGAAGTCAAATTAAGCAGCAACTTACTGACAAAACTTTGCTAATTACAAGCCAACATTATTTATTACTTGTAAATGATCTACGAAAAATCTTTCATTGAGATAGGTGTTATTCAGTCTCAATAAACATTAAGCTGCATTCCTCAGACTTTTTATTTTTCGAGTACATTGGTGATTTTGTAGAAATTGGTGAGAACTTGAAATGTTGAAATGATGGATTTGTATCGCAAACCCTTTTTGCTTCGCTTTTGTACGTAAGCGGTGTTGCGGAAGATATCTATAGTACTCAGCGCCTGCCCACAGCAAAGTGTAGATCATTTGAAGAAAAAATGAGAAAGCGAAAACAACAGTATCTTGTAGGCTCGAAGCCCGTTCGAAAATCAGATGAACAGATTACTTAATCAAATTGAATTGACTTGTGCTCATTCTAGAAATGATCTCAGAACAGGTTAAGTTCGCGTTTGTCACTCTCTACAATATCTAGAGGTGCTTATTGGTGTGGATGGTCGTTTACGAAACTTTTGTGTAAGGAATTTACCTGGTCTTTTTGCTGATCATCCTTTCCTCCAGTCTCTTACCAAGCTGAAGGGCTTTTCGAGGACGTTTGTTTCGCGAGGCATCTAGAACAGGGCTCAGCACGAGTCGATTTCTAGGGTTTAATAAATCTCCCCAACTTGAAATTTTCGTGGAATCCCTTTTGACCTTTGTCGGGAACTTAGCGATTCCGCATTGTCATTTTTACATGTACGTATGTTTTCCGTAAGGAAAATTGTAGGAACAAAAGGGGAGCGAATACTGCAGTCCACAATAGTTTGGCACTGCGCTATGTCTATGAAAGCTGTCTTACTACGAAATGAGGGCAAAACCAAGGGAAGGGCAATGACACGAACATGTTGTGCTTACGGTAGTGTATGGTAGTGAACGAGCAACCCTTTCATAATGGAAAATCCAAAACTTATGTGAACTTACAGAAATACATGCTCCGTGGGCTCCGTATAATTTCAGTTCGTATTTGCCGTCTGAAGAGGGACTGATTCTAAAAAAGGTGCTACAACGCATGAGTTTTCAATACAAATTTTTTTCATAATTCTCTAAATAGTCTCTTCATATGGGTGGCGGTCAAGAATAACGATAGCTCTGCCAGCCGTTAGCTGCCAGCTGCTCGCGCGCGCAGCACAACCCGCCTTCACTCATTTATGAAATCGGAAAAATGATCTAAACTTCAGTTCTTTTCATTAAAGTTCGTTTCCTACGTTAATCATTAAAGCTTACATAATTCGCATGCGAATTGGGCACAAAACATTACTATCGCGAATTTATGGCGATGTGATTACTGATTATTTCGATCTTTAAAAAATAGCAGAAGTCTTAACATAAAGCTTATATGAAGAAGCACAACACTTCGGGCATTTACTGCTCAAAAATGTGGTGCCTGCGTAAACTCAACCACTGCTAGGAAGATGCTACTTGTACACCGTCTATTGACACCCGGCCACTCAGGGTGGCACTATTGCCAGCCATCGTTATTCTTGACATGTACCCTCTTCATATAGCCAAATTTAGTGTCATAACATGACTGGGTTGTAAACAAGCCACTTGTTTATTTTAGCTTTGGAACAATTTGCGTTTTCTTTAAGACAAGGTGACTCATGTCCTGTAATAATCGTTTCTTGAACCTGTGTTCGTCATGTTGGTCATATGCCTGCATAATGTTTTACAATTACCCCTGTGCTTTTTGTCTTACGGAAGCGTATCTAGTTGAAGTGGCCTTTCCAGATGAGACCCATACTGCTTTAAAGAGCATTAAGCGGTGATTCTAAATCTGCCTTCCAAATCTGCCAAGCTCCTCTGGACGCCGAGCTATGACCGTTCCTCAAGTAAAAAAATTGAACGCAAAACTGGAGCAAAATCGCTCAAATTTGCTCAAATGGTCCACTGTCAAGTACCAGAGCTGTTTATGCAATGGATACACATGTTTAATATGCTAAGAATACTTAACATTGCTTTATCTGAGCGCTGAAAACATTGTAACAATCAATTTTACCTAAATTCTGCATTCATTTTTCATTCCGAAGAACGGTCATAGGTCGGCGTCCAGATGCGCTTGGCGGATTTGGAAGGCAGATTTGGAATCACCGTGCAATACTCCTTAAAGCAGTATGGGTCCCATCTGAAAAGCTCACTTCGACTATACACGCTTCCCTTGTTAGAAACGAAGTCCACACTGCTTCAGTCGATTCATGCTGAGCCTTAATGTAGAAGATTCTAATGCCCACCTATATTCCGTTATTCACTTTGCAAAGGTTAATCTATTAAGGTGCACTCGGCTGGCTTACTCAGGCAGATTATTTTTCTCATACCAAAACAGCGAATTGCGAATGCCAAAGACTCTAATCGAAAAGCTAAAAACTTCGTTTAGCCTCCCAACTCATCATAGTCACAGAAGTCTCTGCGACACATCTCATAACTTTGTCTTTGTCCTCCAATTGTCCTTAAACTCTCAAAATTCTTAGCCCGTACTTGCTAAAATCTTTCTGTCAGTTTAGCAAGTGGCGTTCGCTGTGGATGTCAAGATGAAGTACAAGCCGTTCCAATAGGTGGAACCATTGAAAATTGTGCATAAAACGAACCACGCGACTCAGCTCCATAGTTCTGCTTTTTTAGAAGCGTGTTTGAGACGCGTTCCTTTTCAAATTGAAGATGGGGGATATACACAGGGCCTTAAAACTTTTATGAGCAGTTTGTAAGTCCTCATCAAATGGCCAGCCACAACTTTATATGAGATTACCTAGCCTGTAAACGATCTTCAGTTCCTTGCGTGCGATGATGGATCTTTCACTCCTGTTTCTGACAAGCTTACTATTGCTCAGAAATGGTGGTGATTTCTACCACAAACACCGGGCTACCGAGACGTAAAGTAGTCACTACCTTCTTTGAGTGAGGTTGATCTTTTGAATCCTCTTTCTTGGTATCTGCTCCCACAACAAAATGTGATCGAGTAGATGCAAAGCATAAGGACTCGGGCAATGTTCACGCGAATTGATTGTTGCGATTCAATCGCTAAAGATAAGTGTTACGAGTTTATTGCATGATCTTCTTGTAGTTCGGTTGTGATAGTTATTCACGATTAATCGGGTTGGAAAACTATCATAACCGAATCACAAGAAGATCGGCATGCAATGAACTCGTAGCACTTGTCTTTACGATTAAATCGCGAAAACCAAATCGCGTGAACCCTGTCCAAGGCCTAAGACTGTGCACTCGTCGAGTCGTTGCGGCAGACATGTCGAATTTGTCCTACATAATTAATGCCCTCAGCAACCTATCGCCATATTCATCAACAAAGCTTAAAGTTTAAATCTGGCTTAAGAGCATATTTTGAAGCAGCCAACGTCAATGTTAACTCTATTCGGAAAGTTAAACACCTGTTCGTTATGAATGCTAATTTTAAGGTACATAACATGAAATTCATTTTTGACTACAGCCACTGATCTTGTAACTACTCAACGCTTTAGCGTCCGATGATCTAGTATTGGCATTTATCGCTGCCGATTGAGTGAGAAAACTTTTCCTAAAAGCGGACTTATCACGCCGTGTTTTTACCTTTCACAAAGAGCGGTCCCCAACCTTGTGAAATTGAGAACCGCCAGCGATTTTACCTACGCCAAACGGCGCAGGATTTCTCGTTAGCCCGGTCTTCTCTTAAGTGTGCTCCGACGGTTTCGAAATCCAAAAATGATTTCTCAGCAGCTCGCTTGGTCTCCTATCAAAATAGGCTCGTTCACTGCAACTTGACAGCCAGTGGCACTGTCATGTCAACGGCATACGTTAGGTAGTCATATGCTCGGTTATATAGAGTAACCTTTCAGTTCTGCTGGTATTCATCATTCATGCTGAAAGCACATGTCAATTTAATATGTAAAAGTATTTTTCTTTGTTTGCAAACGCAACAATCATTCAAAGCGGCGTTAGACCATCTGTGGCAAAATAGGGTAATCTAAACTTGTGAGTGCGCGGTGGTAAGAGGATCAAACAAGGCAGTGATTGTGCAAGTGATTGCTTGCTGTTGATTACTGATGCTTAAGCACAATGTATCACACGTGAAAGAAAGTGTTTTGGACCTTTCCAAATGAAATCTCCATAATTACGTATAGCTTTAAAGGCTGACCTCAAATGTTTTCGCTATCTGCCGAACTCTCTAGACCCCACATCTGGCAAGACGTGGGGCAGAATAAATTCGAATCTAATTGTTACCATCTCTCCAGCACTCAAATAGAGCAGTGCCAAGTACTAATATGTTAGACAAAAGGTCTTCATCCTAGCACCCAATCTCCGCCGCACTCCGCCTCAGTCCACCGGATTCCGCGTCGCATCGTCATATCTTGTTTCAGAATGGATCAATTCTGATTCCAAGGGCACCGTTTGACTCAGCCAAGGCGCACCTTCTGATGTACTGAAATAGGAATACGATAGTTATACGTAAGAAATCAGTTTTCACATACTTCTGTAGGAGAATACTTGGATGGTGCATTCGGAGCTTCTAGCGAAGTGCAGGATAAGGTAGGAGTACGGTAAGAGTGATTTTTGCATGGGTCCATCTACAAATACGCTTGGAGAGGTTATTCGATGTGCTGATTAGGTGACCATTTTGTGGCGGTGTCGTGGCATACTGCAAGACGCTGTAACTATACGGTAAGAGATCAGTCTGCGTGCTATATCTGGAACTTCCCTTCAAGGCCCTATCTCAATATCCTTCCCAGGAATTCTTTGTCTTTGACTCATTCTTGCGCTTGTAGAGTACCGTTAAAACGGTACTCCACAAGCGGAGTACCGTTAACACGGTAAGTATAAGGAAGATTATCGGCTCGTTTCTGCCTGAAAATCCCGACTTGCGGATCTTGCGAAAAACATCAAAATAGCCGCTAAGGAGATACCCATATATTTAGAGCTGATAAAAATCTCACAAAGTCATTGTATCTCTGCAGCATGCCACGTTCGTAGTAGATGAATAACATCCTTAAGGGCCGGGCATACATCACGCGATTTCATCGTCGCGATTTCCGATCGTCGCGACTTGGTGAAGGTGGCGATGAAATCGCTGTGACTACATCGCTAGCTACTCGGCCATGGGCATACTTCCTCGGCGATTCGTGCATCCTCACAAATGAGGACATAATACACGTCTCAAGACACTTACAAGTATTACTGAACTGTCGCAATTTGTCGACGTATTGTTGATGTATTGTACGTAATTGTATGATTTTGTCGATGTATTGTAATGTTATTGTCGCAACTTCAGCCGATGTACCAGCCCTGGCTAGCATATCAAGGTTGACCAAGGAAATCAGAGAGCAAAAGAAGATGCAGGCTCAGGTAGTTTATATAATCTATGATTAAATGATTTTCGCTAGTTCGGCAACATCATTTTCGATTTTGATACTTTTGAAAGTGTAACTGTATTTGAGATAGCCTGTTTTTAGAAAAACTTCAGAATCCTAAAGTTTCTAGTGCTGGTGTGCTGCCATTGTCGCTGTGTCTGTGGTATGGAGAACAATCAGAGTCAATGTTTAGTGGAAAGAGGCACGCTCGAAGTCGTACATGGGACTACTATTCAAGAAAGAAGGAATTTCACTAATACAAAATGTTCGCTTTTTTCAAGCTTTCTAACAATAAGGGACCCGTCATACTTCACCGAAAACAGCCCAAAACCGCCCAAAAAAGCCCGAAAAAGCCCAAAAAAGCCCAAAAGCTCCAGAAAGAGCCGAAATGTAGAAACGAACTTTTGGTAGAATTCTGACATTATCTTATCATGCGGACGACAGAAAATGACAAAAAGGCTCGATTGCGAAGTCAACACACGTGCCTTAGCGCCAAAACTGCGAGGAGTGTTCCGGCTCTTTCTGGCGTTTGGGCTATTTCGGGCTTTTTTAGGCTTTTTTAGGCTTTTTCGGGCTTCTTCGGGCTTTTTTCGGCAAGTATGACGGGTCCCTAAGATTGCGTCTTTTTTTCTGGTTTACTTCGTACACAAGGTGGACCTGGCGTTGAAGGACTTCAGTTCAAAATGTCCAGGTTATATATGGCCCTGGCCACACTTCGCTTAAAAGCCCCAAATTTCTCATGTCTCTTCATTCTCGTGTGAGGAGAGATGAGAGAGAGTGTGGAGAGGTCAGAGAAGTTTGGGCGCTTTTGAGCGAAGTGTGGCCAGAGCCTAAGTCATCCCATTCACCGTTTTAATTCAAAAGGCGATGGTCTCTTTATTTCTAATAGGTAGCGCTCTAGAAAAGTGCTGTGTTCTTGCTGATTGTCCCATCTGTTTCAAACAGAAATGAAGACCATCTTTCGTTTCTATCTAGGTCATCAGCTGCTAGAAAGAACAGCTGCTATAAAGACGTATAGTCTAGTCATTGACTGCACGGATGGACATCAGTGAGGAGCACGCGACGAGGTAAAACGCTTTCCCTAGCAAGACTTGTCAAGATACCACTCGTGCTGTCGCCAATTTTAGTCTTACCGCAAGTGGTCCCAACGTTTGCACAGACCGTGCGGTCAATGACTCGAAGGTACAAGCTGTAGGGTGACTTTCTCCGAGTTACTGAGAAACAGCGGGTTGCCGTATCAACTGTTTCAGAGTGGTCAAGGTTTCCGACGTTTTCGATGTTGCGGAGGTTGCCAATCGTTGTAGACCTCATAGTACACTCTGCGTGTTAAGCGCTCTCTAGCACTCCCCGACCTCGACAACCCGACCATCCCGGCAGCAGTTGCCGGTAACTTGTGGCCAATGCTTATGAGTTACGATCATCGTTGAGGACGATAATCGTGGACACAACCGGTCATGACTCATGATGATTGATAAGACAACGACGGTAGTGCGCATAAGCGGGAGCCTTGGTGTAGATTTTCTGTTCTTACTTTGCATCACTCTTGAACTGATAAGGTTTCCCATTTTCAGCGTTGAGCTTCATCCTGAACGCATAAAGGGCCTACACATTGGTCGATGCAGTGAATTCGGTAAAGGAGAAGAAGTTAGTACGTTGTTTTCCTTCTAAAATGATGTCTGTTGCGACCCGGCTCCTACAAACTGAATGTGCATTATAGTGTAAATACAATGCTTGGAGCCAGCTAACTGACAAAAAGTGATTATTTGTTTTCATTTATCTGTCAATTTCTGGCTCGTTTGCATTTAATCGAGGAGAAGTGATTAGAGTGTTGGTCATCCCCACTTCGTTGCCCGCTCATTTGGCGTATGCATACGCTTGTATGCAGGGAATTATTATGTGCGAGGTATTTTGGCGCTTATTGATAAAACATCCAGACTTTCAAAGTCAGATGTGTCTTACAAAGTCTTACCAATAATTGCTCATGTAGAGATTTTCGCATTACTTTTCCCTCCAGTATCATTGGCCGTCAGAGAAATCTCTCTTCGGGAAAACCGTTATAATTTTACGTGTTTTTTGACTGAGTTCATCTTTGGTTGATGCCAGGACAACTATACAAATTGCTCTGAACTGTGCCATCGAAAAGACGGACTTGATATAAAAATCAATGGCACAGGAGTATAATATTTAGGCAACTCTTGATAGCTAATAAGCACGTTAGATTCCAATGTAATTCTTCCAGTTCCTGCAACGCTAATCCAGACATCATGAATACTGAAGATCGTGAGTCATTCAACGAAGAAATGTCATTTATGGTTGAGGAGGTGAGACAAAGCAGAGCTGCCACTACCTTGATGGAGCGATTTTGCTTTCAAAGATCTGTAGGTTATATAGGTTATTTTAACATCGTATAACTGTACCCTTTGATTCAACTGATTTGGCGCAGGAACGGGGCTTCTTGACCTAATTACCAGAGAGCACGCACGTGGGAGAGATACAGTCTGCGTTCTCCCGCGCGCGTGCTCTCTGATCAATACCCAGCCTTAATAAGATCAAGAACCCCCCCCCCCCCCGCCTTCCATGCGCCAAGTCAGTTGAATTAAAAGGTATGCATCTCAAAACGTCCACCCAGACTGAGGCTAATACAACCAATCTTATCTAAGCCAATTACTATAAAACATACAACAAACATTGTTGCAGCTGCGCAACTTCAAGTTTTTAGGAGAACGAGGAAAGACAGGCTGATGCAAGTCATTCGGAGAGGTTCATGGTTTATGAATTAAGAATATACTCTCAAAAAAAACGTTTCATTTGTAGGAATGTCACTGTTGATCGTTTTTTCTTCATTTTCACTTTTTCGTTTGTTTTTTCTTGAACTTTTTTGGTTTATTTTTCCACATGTCTACACACTATTGATAATGTGATATTTATTGCATCGCAGAGTTGTCCAATCTCAGTAGGGAATGAGCAAGTCACTGAGTTTGAATGACTGCATATTTCGAGTATGATTACACACTTTAGGTCGCTCTTGGTCATTGTCTGATACCATTTGTGTTGTCTTTGCAAAACAAACAACCCGCAAGCTCTCACCAAGGTTTATGCAGTACTAAACAACCAACAATTACAAAATCAAATTCAACAAAATATACCACAAGCTTGATATCGAACAAACTTATCTCAAAGCAACCGTCCCCATGCGCAAAAAAAGTTGCAAGTCTATCTCGCTGTACATGTGCAGTGCCGACATAAGGAACACTCATCTACGGGAAATTTCTTTTTCTACATTCGGGCTCTCCGGGGGATATCTTCTCGTTGGTTCTTCACGGCAAAGGCCTCGCGCCAACCGGTTATGTGGCACCTAAATACGATTTACCTTCCACATGATCATCAAAGTTAGAAGAATTGCACATGCTGTTTCTATTAGCAGTTTCATGTGTTCGGGTGTCCCATGGAGGGGGAGGGGGGCTGAAACTCGAAAACGAATAATTCCGAAATTCCGAATACGTTTTCCACCTCAAGTCAAGTGTTGTAATTGAAGGCAGATGATGATAAACCGTTCACAACTTACTAAGTAAGCACTCATCAAAGTGTGCTTTTATCTGGCTTTAGTGCTTCACCCGATGATATGGCCGAATCATACAAGTATTTTATCCGAACCCTCCGTCGGCGAGTATGTGATATTCAACGATACCTTCATTGCCTAGTGGGACAGGTTTTTTAGAACCTTTCAGGAACTCTGTCAGGAGACGTACAACCCTGATGTCGTAAAATGTGTTAATAATTGCTCTGTATGTTTAGCCGAGTCCGAATTGTTCCCCTTTCCCCCGCAATCAGTGAGGAGGATTTGGTAATTGCTGTCAACAACGATTAATAATATTAACGAAAATGTGCCTTTGAATTCAAAATACGTGCTGCGTATTGCCAGGGGCCTGTATTATTCCCCACTTTTTAAAAGTCTGATAGAATACGATTTGAGGTTCAACCATGCATTTAAAACGTTTTCTATCAATAACACCAATTTTTCGTGGGTACCCCACATACTATTGAATCCGTCAGCGCTTCCAGTCTTCAGAGCGTGGCCATTCTGACCGAGTAGGCGGAGCTAGCCACTAGGTGGGTGGGGCTTGCCTTCAGTGAGACTGGCCAAAATTTGAAGTCCACGGAGGTTCCGCGGCCATTTAGGACCTCTTTCATGCACTTCGTGCATGAAAACAGGCTTTCAGAGATCGGCGGAAGGGGCGGGGTTTCCAGCGAAGGGGGCGATGTCGACCAAAAGAATGGTCGGCCATCAACGAACCTCAATGCACTTTGATCGAACTCAATCGAGCGAATGAGCGCGGCAATACACTATACAGTAGGGTAGATGCTATAGATGCTCTTCATGTGGACGTCGACGGGGGCAGGGACCATGTCTAACTCCGTATTGGAGTCCTATATACTATAATATACATACGATACACCCTTAACGTTATCAGATGAAGGATTCTATATCAGAATCCTTGCAAGTTTGTGACGTGTGAGGATAAAGCATGTTAATGCTTTTCTTACCAGCGCCACCTGATAACACATCATGATATAAATAGCACTTTGAAGTTGGAAACTACTAGTTTTCTTTATTTGCAAGCAGTCATCAGCGATTAAGCTCGAGGTGAGCTTCGGTGCCCTCCTTTTTGTGCTCTAATAGCACAAAAAAGGATTACATTCATCAAAAAAAGCGTGGTGTTGGCTTTTCAGATGAAAAGATCGTTTGATACGTCTGTATATCGCTTGTCAGACATGGAAAAGCATGCCCTCGTGGACATAGTTCAACAAAATCCCACTATCTGGGATGAACAACTGCAAAGCTACAAGAATCCGCAAGCAAGAGCGGCAGCCTGGAGACATGTAGCAGATGAGATGCAGGTAGAATTTGGTAAAAATTTTGGAGGTAAGTTCAATCTACTAATCCTACGAGATTTGAAGGCGTCTTTTTGAGCTGAACCTTTGCAAAAGGCTTTCAATAACCTACGAGACGTTTATGTCCGAAAACACCGTGAGTACTCTGACGTTCTGCGCCGCAAGAGCGGCGCAGAATCTGGTATTCCCGAAAAAACGGCGAGTTGGCCTTTTTATAAGCAAATGAGCTTTATCGACGCCGGAGCCGATCAAGGGTTGGTTTAGAAGATGAAAAGTTTTGCAAACAGTTTGAAAAATCTTCTTTTATCTCAGCGAACGTTTTTGTAATGTCGATTTTGAAGACAATGAAATCATCGACGTTACTGAAGAGACGCAGATTGTGGAAGTTACTGAAACGGTTGGAACCACGATAAACAATGCTAATGCCATAAACACGATTACGAGTCCATTTAGTCAAGCCAGTCCTCTACTGCAAACACTAGCATTAGACCACTTATAGAAATCACATCTGCAAAAAAGTCAGGAAGAAAACAGAATAAAGGAAAAGATTGTGAGTTGTCTCCAAAAGAAGTGATACTTTTTATGGATTATTTTAGCTCTTGATAAACTTGGGTCAGTCCTCAAAAATCTGGAGCCGCTAGACTTATTTTAGCTCTTGATAAACTTGGGTCAGTCCTCAAAAATCTGGAGCCGCCAGACAGATTTGAAACATTCGGTTCGTTTCGCTTGTATGCTAATATTGAGACGTTACTAATACTAAGTTGGGTCAATTGCTGTCGAGTACACTTCGTGAACTTAACTCGCTAAACGCTATCAAAGCAGATGACTTTGCCTTGAGAGTCATCGAACTTCAGAATCAAATTTGTCAGGCCATACAAGAGATCAGAATGGCAAGGAAATAATTACCTTTTCTCAGTCGTTTTCGCTGCAAACGCGCGCCTTCTACGAGATATCATGGATACATAGTATTTACAGATGTTTGTCGTGTTATCTATATGTTTGTTCTGTTTCTTTTACAACGCGACGTTTGATGCTATCATTATCAGCATAAATTTTGTGAATCAAAATTTTGGTAACTTTGACACGGATTTCCTGTTATGTCGTATACTAAATGAAACCTCTTCTAATAGAAAAGATATTTTTCATCCTAGAGCAGATTTAGTATCGACGAAATTTTAGGATGGCCCCGTTGCGAGAAACAATTCTACAGATTATACAGCTGATATTATCGCTGGTGAGAAGTAATTTACATTGAAGCTTTTTTCAAGAAAAATAAAAATAAAAATCTTTTTATTTTATCAATGTCAAGGAAATCCCGGTAGATGAAGCAGTCATTTCTCTGTTGATAGTGAAAAAACTAACGAAAGGAAAAATATGTCCATTATGCCGGTACGCTATATGAAGTGTTTATGGAAGTAATCACCTCACTTTTAGTAGTAATCCTAAGAGGCACGCTTTCGGGTCCTCTGATTGCTAATATGCGGTCACAAAAAATCTCGTTTTCATTATATTCTGAGATTGTATTTTTCAGCGGAAGCCTGTGTCTACATGTGCTTAAGAATGTAATGGATTTCATCAAATCGGTTTCGCTTCGGACATCTCGAGAAGTATATATATGAATATCAGCCACCTTAGTCAAATTAGTAACAGATTTTCAGTCTTTGACGCCTACTACCATGGTCAAGATGAATCCATGTTCCATGAATACAATGGCTGACACATACCGAGTTTGATATTTTAGACAGTTGTCTCTATAGAAGACTAAATCATGCTAAAAAACATCGATACCCGATAAATGCGAAGCATAGGCTAGCAATATGCCTACGGTTGGAACTGTTTTGTCTTTCATTATACGCAAACAATAACGATTTTGAGATACCTTGGGCATGGAAGGTCATTACACGCATGCGCCCATGAGTTTCAACTAGGAAGGACGACAGTGGCAAAAATCATATACGAAGTATGCCATGCAATTATGTCAGGTACTTCTTTTGTCACCTACCCAATACATTCATGCATCTTCAGAATTTTAAAATTTCCGAAAGAGGCATTCCTTAAACCGACGCGGGAAGATTTGAAGCGTAGCGCTGTTGGATTTAATACTATGTGGGGGTACCCACGAGAAGTCGTTTCTATAGATGGAAAACATTTTAGATGCGTGGTATGACCTCGAATTGTATTCTATTGAACTTTCAAAAAGTTGAGAATATTGAAGGCCCCTAACAATACCGGCAGCACATATTTTATTTTCAAAGGCACATTTTCAATAGTATTATTAATAGTTGTTGACAGCAATTACCGGATCCTCTTGATAGATTGCGGTGGCAAGGGGAAGAATTATTCTGATTCAGGCGAACATGCAAAACAGTTATCAAGATATTTTGCTATATTCAGGGTTGTACAGAACATCTCCATTAAGAACGTTCCTTGAACGTTCAAAAAAATTCTTTCCACCACCCGCCCCACTAGGCAATGAAGGTATCGTCGAGTATCACATACTCGCGGGGGGTTCGGACAAAACAGTTATACGATTCGGCCATACCATCAGTCTGAAGCACTTAGGAGTCAGGTAAAAGCACATTTAAATGAGTGCTTTAGTTCGCAAGTTGTGCACGATTCATCTCGTTGAATCATTATTTGGCCTCAATTTCAGCGCTCGACGAGTTGTGGAAAACGTATTCGGTATTATAACATCTCGTTTTAGAGTCTTTCAAGCCTCCCTTCACGGCACACCTGAGCATATGAAACTGCTAATATCAACAGCATGTGTAAGTCTTTCAACTTTGATGATAATGTGAAAGATAAATGGTATTTAGGTGCGCATAACCTGCTGGCACGAGGCCTTACCCGTGAAGAACTAACAAGAAGATACCCCCTCCCCGGACAGCCCGAATGTAGAAGAAGAATCCTCTCCTGGAGTCAGAGCTCCATATGCCGATACACCCCATGTGCAGCGGGATAGACTCGCAAACTTCTTTGCACATAGGGACGGTTACCGTTGAGATAAATTCGTGATATCTAGTTTGGGTTTATTTTATGACTAATGTGATTTCGTAATTGCTGATTGTTCAGTTCCGCATAAACCTTAGCGAGAATTTCCGTTTGTTTGTTTGCAAAAGAAAATGACTTAGGCAAACAATTGCCGTCTTAAAGTTTTGCTAGTAAGAAGCTAACGCAAAATGTAAAAAGCATAGACGTACAAGAATCAAGTTATCAAGTCATTGAAATTGAAACAAAAAAGGAATGCTAGATTACAACAGGGCTGAACAATTCAGCAGTGTTGGCATTATCAAGACTTGTAAAGGAAATGAATTTAAAAAAATGCACAAATGAAAGTGACGTGAAAATGTAAAAGAAAAGGGGGCGTTAGTAAGGCGGATGCCTGTTGCTCCTGTGCTCAAAAAGCACGCAACAGTTTATGCGATAAGAAGAAGTTGTGTGCAAGGCTATACTTGAGACGAATTGCCCTAGCCCCCGTCGTAACAGGTCGAGGAAGCGAATTGTATAGCAGGGTCTCTGAAAGTGCAGACGATTTTGCTGCTTGGCAAGCTGTGTAAAATACGCTTTAGTTGAAGGAAAATTTCTTTAGTAATAACTTACTTAAGAAAAGTCTCATGCATTTACTTAAGAAAAGTCTCATGCATTTTCTTGGTAACATCTTTCGGCTGCAAAGTCCAAATGACATTCAGACCATTCCCCTTTCTGTTGTGAAGAACTGGAGCAGCAACGAAATAAGAATACTTGTCGATAACCTGCAGCGGTTCACTTCGATAGATACTCTGACATTCGATGCGTGCGGCGCTTTGCAGTGCGCGTATGCCGAACGGTGAATGCGCGCGGGCCGCACGTTGTCGAGAGCGCTCCGTCCCTACTACAAAAAGTCTTTAATAAAGCTCTTCTTTCGTTGTGCCATGAGCATTCTTAAATTCACAGTCCAAAAAAATCCCGAATTTAGAAAATTCGAAAATTTGGATCTGAATCCATAGAATTCAAAAATCCAATTTTGGCACCCATTCGGAAAGCTATCGAGGGATAACCTTCGTAGAAGAAGAAAACCTCTCATGTTCCTGCGATTACTCTAATGTCAAGAAATGATAGCCAGTTCCACGAGTGATGGAGCAGCCTAATCACTGCGTCGTACCTCACGCGAGTACCCATTGCGTTCATAGCGTGTGAGAATTGGAGGCGCGCGGGTGGCACGGTGAGAATATAGTCCGCGCGGGCCGTACGCTAAGGATTCAAGGCGCGAGGGCCGCACTGCTGGGGCCATTAGCAAGCAAGCGCCGCACGCACCGAATGTCAGGGTAACTACCCAAGTAAAAATAATGTTGAACTAGGACAAACTAACTTCTTTTACTCTGTCAGCTTTACAAAATTCAGCTGCATCCCCTGGTTTTATGTGAATTTCGACGCGATTACCGGTTAGTAAAACAACTGGCTCATCAGCGAGTACATACGAGGTTCCCGTGAAATAATTGTTCTGAAAAAAAACTGGAAATACGACGATTTGATAAGTAAATGAAAAGATATAAGTAATCACATACTCATTCCAAGTCCATTTTAGTCCTTCTATCCGGCTGACCCACTATCCTACTCGTCACAATGAGCGAATCGGACACCATGAACGCAAAGTCCCACTACAAACTGGTCAATTACAGCTCCAGCACTCTTTTTATTCTATAGTTCACCTCTTGATTTGATAGTGTCTGTGATTCATAAAAAATCGACCTTCTCCATAAACTCCTACCACTTTGCGATTGCTCCTAGGTATTCAACAATGTCCTCTTTATTCATGACAATTCAGTATCCTTGAAAGTACATTGAGCCTGAAACCTGTGACTTCATGGAGATAACGAAGAAACAAGAGCGTGACCCCACCTCACCAGTGGTCAGTGGTCAGTGGTCTCTGACAAACACCTAAGTTCAAAGATTCCAAACATCTTGAAAACGAAGCCCTATATCCCACAAGAGCGATACAATAGATAACGCGCACTTAGATGTAGAATTTCACTATCATACAGCGATACTGCATATACTAATCTCGACATATGTCAAACATCACGATTTTTGTGTGCTCGAAAGAAGTTCTTTTCCAAAATGTGCTTAGCAGCGACACAAGTAAGCTTCACGATCACAAGTTTCTCGTATTAGACCTCAATGCACGAACCTCACTGTCCGAATACAGGGAATTTGCCATGATATCCATAAGATTTCAAATATCAGTCTTGCAAAAATGTCGTTCCGCCACCGAGCTGCCGCTTCGTGCCGCTTCAGGATGATGCAGGGTTTTCGAATTGTAGGAATTTGCATTACGAATGTAAGCAGTAGTGATCACGTGCCGACTTCTGTCAAAAGCTACTCTACTCAAGGCATGTCATAACATCCGCATGCTCGATCACCCTGAACAAAAAGCATATCATTCAATTGAAACTAATCGAAATTCAAGGAAATTACTCAGACAATCGACCGACCCCTCCGCCGGACAGTCGGAATCTGCCAGAGTCGCGCCGGACCCAGTTGACCAATGAGAGCGGGGCGATTGGGCGGTCCCTTCTTGTAGGTCGCGGTGACATCACTGGCAGGCAAGTGGGACCCTTCTCCGGCCCTGCTGCAAAGGTACGCCATTTCCGCTCCGGAGGTACGCCGGATTTGGCAGAGCCGCGCCAGAGAAATTTGCCCGCCGCGAGTCCGCCAGATTTGGACGAGCCGCGCCGGAGAAAATCGGAGGGGTCCGGAGCACAAATGGGAGGTCTCCGGAGCACAAATGGGAGGGCTCCGGAGCACAAAATGGGAGGGCCCCGAAGCACAAATGGGAGGGCTCCGGAGCAGGCTGCGTATCGATTTGGCGCGTAGCCAAGCAAACGTCTAACTCCACGGTGATGAGTCCTCTGTTTAAGCTCTTTCTCCATATTTTAGTCGTTGTTTCTTTGATTTTGTTGTTTTTCCGCGTTTCTTTACCGTTTTTTTTCTTTTCCGCGTTGCTCTTCATCGCGTTGGCGTTTATGTTGTTGTAAGTTCCTCGTTTTCAGGTTTATGTTTCAAATTTTCGTGCGGATGCACTCAATCACTTTCAGTGTTTGGCTCTTTTCGACTTGCTGAGACATCGTTGACTTTTGATGGAGTGGTTTTTGTGATTAATTTGAGCTCGTTCCGAACATTATCTGTGGCTTTTCGGGCAGATGCATGCTAAGGTAAGCGTTAGGGTTTCTAGGCAACTTTATATCTGATATCTACCGGACATAACATCTGAATCAAAGTCCTATGAGCCACTTATCGAGGTGTATTTTCAGCGATTTCTTGTTCTCGCTCATCTCTTGTTTCACTGATTGCCTTTCTCTTTCACTGATTGCCTCAATCAGAGGCACTGGTGTCGTAATGTCGTTCTGCTCGACCGCGATGACGAAAGTTTCGAAATTTCAAGAATCAGCAGTTTCAAGAATTTTCTTGCAATTCTCAAAGCGACGCATCTTTATGCAGAATATTGCAAGAGACATGTTGAGACATTCGCTGATTTGGAAAAAGTTGTAAACTTCGCTTGGAAACGGCCAAAAGCGAATGAGAGTAAAATTGCACCAAATATTTTGTGTATAGACATTCAAGTTTTCCTTACGACTTTTTTTTTGAGAATCGTTGTGTTTCTCAATAGACGATTCATTGCACGCAAAGGCTGGACGCCGTTGCGTCATAGGAGAGAGTGTGCTGCGGAGAGGCAGTAAACGGCTAAGAGGGCGAAAGTGTGTTTAATCTGAGAGACGCCTACAGGGTCCGCAGTGGCAATCTATCTCTGCCTGCTATTCGCCTATATATAATGTAATGGCTTTTTCAGTTAAGTTCGTTTAAGTGTCCGAGTCTTTGAGAGCTGTCGGAGTTAACCAATCGAATACTTTACTCACAGCTTCTCATCACTACCTGCTGCAGAATCCCAAGGTGATTTATAGGTTATCTTAAGGAAGCTTGTTCGTGCCTGTGCTGATCGTTATCTTGAATTTAGCTCTCAGCATCAAATAAGGCTCTTGTTCTGGAAGCTATCAACAATGTAGTATCGGATACGAAAATTGTCAACGAACTGGATGAACAACTGGTTCATTTGATGATAAATCTTGCCACGCGGGAAATGACAATGACCAGCAAGGTAAGGTTTTTCCCACTCCAGTTGCTTTCTTTTGCGAGATTCTCTTCTCAAGATTCTCTTTTATGGGTGACCTCTAGCTTCATATACTCAATGTTTTAGTATTGCCGATCAGCGCCAATTCGATTCTCTTTCGTCCTCTCGATAGAAAACGAGTTGACACGGTGTTATTTATGCATCCTAGCAGGTTCCTAGTCTCGTCTATTCAGGAAACGGAATCTTTAATAGGAAATTGATGAATTTTGCACTGACATTTGTGTTCAGAATCGACCGTTATCGAAAACTCTTCCTTGGAATTGTAGCATTGCCATCTATATTCTTGTGCACCTCAAAAAATATATCATATCGCATATCATCCAATCGCATAAGTGTACAGTATTGCTTTTATGTTTCACTGCTTCTATATTCTCTCGCTGAATCTCAATGGCTCCCAAATTCTTTTTGAGGCTCAGCTCAAAGATTGTAGGAATTTGATGGCGAGAGAATACAAAGGCAGTGCTGAACTTGGAGAAGATCCAACAGATGCACCTCCGTCATCAGAAATGTCTAAAATGTCAAAAATGTCAGAAATGTCTGACAAAAGGTTTTGCGCTGTGTTTTCCAAGCAGTCTAACGCACTACACTTACTTCGCTTATGTTTTCGCTTAGGGTACGGCCATAGGTTGCCGGCAACTGTTGTCTTTGTCCGTTTTGTAGCTGCTAAGTTTTGTTTTGCAATTCGCAGGAGATTGTTTGCAGTTAATTTGAAATAAATGTCTTGTTTCTTCATTCTTCTATCTTCTATCCACAAACGCTAGGGGTGAGAGGGAGGGGGTAGAGTACGGGGTGAGGGTCGCGTTGAACTCCTACCCGGGGGGGGGTCCTATTCGGCTAATTTGGGTGGGGTTTAGAGACAAATTGGGGTTTGGAGCTTAGTTAGGGCTAATTACAGTATGCCGCGGCAGACTTGCGGAGCACAAAATCGGGGGGCTCCGGTGCACAAAATCGGGGGCTCCGGCGCACAAAATCGGGGGGCTCCGGCGCACAAAATCGGAGGTTTCCGGAGCAGAAAATGGGAGGTATCCGGAGCAGAAATGGGAGGGCTCCGGCGGACGAGTGGCAGACCCACCGCTGGGGAAACCCCGCGGCCCTGCCATTTCTCCGGCAGAGAGGTCCTATCCGCTGTCTGAGAAAATCGATATCCAGCCACAGCTGTACAGTCGAGTAGATTTTTCGCTTAATATAGTGTCCTTGCACGGAAAGTGAAATGCTGTAAAATTTAAGCGTAAACAAGTAATTTTGACTGTGACGTTAACCAATTGCGCGCACAAAATGTCGGCACTACGGACCTGGCTACTTGTTCACGCGCAAATTTCACCGCATTTCACCTTCTGCGCAAGCACACTATATTGAGCAAAAAATCTACTCGATGACGTATAGCAACGCCAAACAAAGCAAGAATCACCTTGTAAAATGAGGAATCCGACAAGCAAAGTTGTGAGATAAAGTATGAAAAGTAATGAGCGATATGCTTGTTGTGAGCAGTAGCCTCAGCACTAGAAGTAACAGGAAGTACTTCAACAGTGCCAACACTTGTACTAATTACCTGTTGCAGAACTCAAATCTTTGGCACATTTTCTCTACAAGTGAATCCAAAGGCTTGTCGACAATCAAAGGTAGAAGCTTTCGGCAAGTGAAGCGTGAAACAGAGGTCAGAAGTAACCAAATACACCAACTTGACGATAAACCTAAAATCACTCAGCGACACTTCCTTCTCAAAACGACAGACACGACAGATTATGTCGGCATGACATTCATCAGCAAATTGACCTGTAAATAGTGTAATTTTTCGCTGCATTAACCCCAATCATCGCAGCAGAAGAATACCTTGATTGAGATCTCATAAAACAGTTTCCTAGCGAAAGCTATTACTTCAGGATTGTCAGTACGGACTTGGGAGGAACTGGAGTTGTTGCTTGGCGCACTCTTTCGAAGCATACAGAGGGCAACATTCGATAGTGTACCTCTGGGCTAAAAATGCCACCAGTCAAAACATCAAAACGCGAACAAAAAAATAGAAAAAAATGCGTCAACGGCAAATCAAGAGGCACCAGTAAAAAAGTTTTACATTTCAAATAAGAATAATGCTTGGCGATCCAGCATGGAAGGAAGTCGCTGCATAATGTCAACGGCAGATACCAGAAGATACTCCCTCATGTCCGCGTCAGGATGGCAACATGTGAATGTGAGGGAAAGAGAACTAGCTCTCTCAGAGAACTGCGGATTAGAACAGAGATCTCACTGTCTTTTCACAGAAACAAAATGCCGGAACTAACAAAATCAATAAAAATTTGCTGAAAGCCTGCAGTGCCGCATCAGTGATTGGTTACTTCATCAAATCCCTATGTGCAAATCACTTTGTGCGAACTGGACATCTACACTTCCAAAAAGTTGGAAAAAAGAAACGCTGTCATGGGTATTTTAATGAACATGCTATTCCATAAAAAGAGCAGTGCAAATTCAGTAGAAAGTATAAAGTATAAAGTTCAGTATAAAGTATGGTGGTATAAAGTTCGAGTTTGACAGTATAAAGCTCTAACCTTTTTCTAGACTTTTTGGTGAACGAAACACTGAATCTTCTTTTTGAAGCTTTCTGCTGACTTTGATGTACTTATATCTGGAAAATAGCACGATAGAACAACATGAATATCAAAATCAATAATTTCAACCCTATGGATTGACCATGATTGAACGATAGAAGTTGCGAACAGTGCGAACATGGGAAAAGAAGGAAACGGAAAACAGCAGACTTATTGTTAGTACATTATTATTAGTATTTACAGACCACCATACTCTCTCAAAGAGTTCAATGCTGTGTGGATGATCTGATGAATGTCCAAGACATAGAGAGTACTAGATAAAGATGCTGTGCCTCTTTATGGCTTACAAAATGTAAAATGCCAATGAATTGTGACTGTCGTTTGTTTCTCTGGAAATAGGTTATGCATAGATTATTTTTGGATAGATATTTACTTGTATGCAATAGAGGACGGCTGATAACATATTGCTAATAAAATAAGTGTCGCTAAATCATCAAACGCAATTCGATGAAAAGGCACAGAACAAATTATTCGTGTCGTGCGTCGTCTTGATAAGAATCCTTAGACACAAAAGAACAAAATGTCGCCAAATCATCACACACAGTGCGATAAAAAGCACTAAAGATGTTATTTTCGTCGTCTATAAAAGAAAGCGACTGCTTTTGGTCCAATGAATGCACTCGGCATAAAGTTTGGCGTCACCTGTGACCAATCGATTGCTATTTACGCTGAGATTGCAGTGTCACAGACCTGTCACATCCTGTCGCAGGCGTTGAGAGATACTGCCATGCGATGACGATTATCACGACTATTACAAGCATACCTTCGATAGTCTAGAGACAGGGCGTCAAAAGTGAAGGTTGTTTAAACATCTGACGTCATAAATAGTGAAGGTTGTTTAAAGATGATCAGAGAAGAGAAACTGACATAAAACAGATATGAAGAGCAAAAGAAACTGCTGAAAACCGGATAAGAACGCTGCAATGAGGCTTGAAATCTTTCATTTGGCGGCTTTTCAAAGTGCAAGTTTTCGCTCCAGGACCAGCGATTCGCAATACGGGGTTTTGATTTTTGATGCGTCCTTTAAATTTTTATCCCCGCATTGACGTTCCTGTTTCCTGGGACGTTGTCTGGATTGTTGCGCTTATTGTTCTGAGCAACAATCGCCCAAGCTGGAAAAAAATCGATGCGAAAGCACTGAAACAGAACAAGGTAAAGAAAAACGCACTTTTTACGATTTTTCGCAAAAAATTCCACAATAATCGAAGAGATAAAGGCTGGATGGTTGTCTGCATTATGAATAGAAGCAAGATCTATAGAATGCACGTAAAAACCGCGTAAGCATAGTTAAACTAGGAGAAAAACAAGAGATTTTCGAAAATTTTTGCCGGATTTCTCGATCAAATCAAAAAATGTGGTTCTGGGACGTTGTCAGCGTGAAAATAGAGATCAATAGCTTCAAAATGATATATAGCTTGCTAAAATTGGGTTCGAAATAGTGAAGAAAAGGGTACCAGAGCCAAATGCCCCGCGCCCCGCGTTTGGGGGAGCGAGGTAGCGCGCAGCGCGCGGAGACGCAGACGAGCAGCGAAGACAGACCAGAGCCGACGGGGCATTTGGCTCTGGTCGTAGATCTCCGCGGGGTCTCAACGAAACCCCTCAACATTATATATCATTCTGATCGCCATGACACGACGAGGAGAACTGACAACGTCCCAAGCTTTGAAAATCACTCTTAACGAGGTACACCAGCGTTTTCGTGTGCGACTCTCTGCGCAAGATTTAGGCGCAGTTTCTCGTTCTTATTCAACTCCAATAGCTTTCCTAAACTTCTAAAATTCGATTTTATTCAAATGAGAGGTTAACTAAATTAACTAGGTTAACTAACTAAGAAATTTTGTTCTGAATTCTGGCAAAAATCCCACAGAAACCTTTTTTTAAGGTAAAAAAAGCTATGAAAACGCAAATTCTCGGTTTCGCTGAGATAAGCTAAGATATTATTCCTTATATTTGCTTCATTAGCATTCGTTCTGATATAATCAGGATAATAACATCCGGGGCTTCGCCCCGGATGACTTCTGTTTTTTCCAGGTGAAGGTTGTGTCCTCTTATAGCCCTCAAAGTGAAGGTTACCAGAGTACGTGGCACTATGTATCGAGGGTGTAATTTACAAGCGATTCAAAGCAGGAGGAACAAGTTTTTTCAAAGAGTTTGTTCATAACAAACGCTAAACCTGAAACTTTTCATATTGAAGCAAATTTCGAATTCATCATATTGAACGAAAAATACGAACATAGTAAACAGATACGAAATCTTTGCATCACGAAGAAGCAACGCACTCTGGCAATTTTAAACTGGTTTCCAAAGTTCTGATCAAGAAAACAGCCTAAAAACAAAGGAAACGACTATAAAATCTTTCAAAAAAGAAGCCAAATCTCAGCGATTTAGTCGCGTCGCTCGTTTTAGCTCAGCGACGCGACTTCGCTGAGATTTGGACAAATCGCGGCGCTTTCAATGAGGGAAGTATGCCCGGGGAAAAACGGTCAGCGACTAGTCGCGCTGGAAAACTATCACAACCGAATGGTAGAATGATCAGCATGCAATGGACTTGTAACAGTCATCTTTCCTGGAAAAAAGCGAGGCGATGAAATAGCGTGATGTATGCCCGGCCTTCAAATCATAATGAAATCGCTGCGAAACAGGAGGATACTATGGATAAGATGGCTAAGACAAATCTGCAGACTTGTGAAGATATATGAATATTTGTTAGAACAGATGATAAAGTTTGTATATACATTACGCACACGTCACCGTCACTTTTACGCTTTAGTGAGGGTGGTGAATCAATCCCTTCGTTGAGTTAAAAGATTTCCTTGCTAATTGATCAATGTGTAACCCGCATGAGTTTTTATTAGTCACTCATACAAAAGTGTAAATGAGTATAAACTACGCTAATAGGATTATAATAAAACCAGCTAATGATAAATGTCATGAAAATTAGCATTTACAAGTAAAAAATGCGAGCTTTCTACACGCCGTCAGCAAGAAACGCTAGCTTTCCTCGCAGTTTTTCAAATGGAGGCTAAGCACGAGATTTTAGCATAGGACTATAGATGACCTGTTGACCTATTGTCAATCGATTTTGTTGGAACAAATGAGCCTAAATTCAGAACGCTGATGGGTCTATTCCCCGGAATACCACTCTAAATTGCAATCATTGTGAGCTGCTTATCTTCTAACTAAAGTTTAACGCCATATATCGAAAAGTTAGCATAGGTCGATAACATCTTTCTCTAATACAAAAAGGTAACGACACTCCAACCCTTACCTTGGATGTTCGTCGAAACCAATGCGATGTAAACGTCTCGTCTTATTGTAAGTGTTTTCGAGGTTGCTCTTTTCAGCAGTGGGATTCGTTTGTTGCAAAGTCAACATTCAGCAGCGATAATGCTTAAGCAAGATCAAAAACCGTAGTGAGAGGTTTTCGATTTTCGGATTTCGAAAATACTTTGTACTTAAATGTTTTCGATTTTCTTTTCTTTGTCTTCAAAAAATTTTTCAAGATATAAAATCGCTATTGATATTGCACAAAACATCTATCTTTATGGCAAAAGCAATTTTGAGAATCCGTAGTTCTGAGCTTTGGTATTCATTTAAAGAAGGAAATTTCAGAACCTTTATATCCGAATTTCGATCTTGTTTAAGCATTGTCGGAGCTGAACGTTGACTCTGCAACAAATAAATCTCACTACTGAAAAGAGCAACCTCGAAAACCTCTAAATCCAATATTTCGTCTTGATTGGAGCAAATTCACTTTTGAACTTTTTTGAAAGTTTCTTTGAAATTCCGCTTTCAGCATCTGGAGCGACATTGGATACGAGGGCGAGGCTTGCGATGTCTTGGACCTGAGGAGCTCGTAATTACGGCGAGCCCGGATGTGCCTGGCAGACACATCATTTAGGTGCCAGGATATGGCTCGGGTGAGAAACTTCCTCTCCCCCCCCCCCCTTGTTTTCTACCCCAGAATACATAACCAGCTTCCTCATGTAAAACACTCAAGTCGCGGCTAAGTCTCAACCAGAGCTTTCAATGGTTTCCACTCAATATCTTAGAATTAAGATCTTGAAAAGTAAACTTGACCTTGATGTTGAAAGGTACATAGTCCATCAACAAGATTCTTACAAAGCCTCTAGTAGAGTAGAACTATCTTTCAAAATGAATTACAAATGTTTTTCAGTACACTCGTGTGTAAATGCTGAAATGTTTATGCAGACGTTGAACAGGGGATGACTGTTTCAAAATTCGTCCTGGTTTGTTCTGTGATCATGGACATTTGGTACATATGCATTGCGTTCCTTTGCAGTAGCCTCCCTTGCACTTCTGAAGAAAAGCGATTTATTGCGTTAGAATACAAGACCAAGACTTACTTTCATTCTTTTGCAATCTCTTTTGCATCTCCTCTCAGCCATTACTTCGTTAGTGCCACTGGGAGGCCAGCCAAGGGTAAAGCAAGATGGTTCCATAAATTTGGCATTGTCAAACCACCGTTTCGCCTCCACCATAACTTGCGATAAGAGAATCAGCATCAGCAATTTAACAAGCGGAAGCATGATCTTTTCTGGGATGAGATTAGATTCCACAGCTCTGATTTACAACGCCAAGCAAACGCAAGCTTCATGCAGGTGTTCGAACTATTGAGAATAAATTGGATATCTGAGGGAAGCAAAAGATATAGCATCTGGAGAAAATCTTTGAAAGACTCAGACGTATAAAAGCGTCTTAAAATAGTATACTGAATATACAGAATGTATGAAGGTTTTTTGTGTGAGTTACATACTTACTATTTATTAGGTCGTTTCGAAAGTAATGTCGCTTCTTCAAAGGTACGCCACATCTCGAGGAACCAAGATTTCTAAGAGATTGTGGTAGCACTCGATGCAGCATTTCATTCTCTTTCTAATGCTTGTAATTTCATTGCATAATATTCTTTGAGCGTTTGAAAAATTACGAAAATCTGCGACCCGTGCCTTTTGAAAAGGTCAAGTTTCACAATTTTTCAAAATTTTTGTAACAACTCTTGGAAGGAGTTTAAGTGATACATGGATAGAGAAAACCCTACAGGAAACAGTGTCATTTTTTTCTAATTTCCATAGCTCGTCATAATTTTTGTATAGATTTTTCATTTGAACCACGAATTTTAGCAGGCTCGCCGCTGACACGAATGTATCAAAGATCAAAAAATCTTCGGATTTCAAAGCTTACAAAAGTGTATTATGGTTTGACACTATTTTTAGAAATCAAATGAGTATTTTCCGCTTCAGATTAGCCACTTTCGAAAATTGCGGGTACAGCGTGGGGCGCCTTGGAAACCCTGAATTATGATGATTTATTCCGGGAAACTTTATGAAACAGAAACAAAGAAGAACTAGTAGAAAGAGGAGAAAAAGCTGCGTTGAATGACACCCGAGTTGCTCGCCGGTTATTGTCCTGTGGGGTTTTAGTTGACCAAATATGGAACTTGATATCGTTAAAGAATTGGTTTTAGAAATTCTAAGAGGTGAGATAAGGAAAAGAAAAAAATTGTTTCGTATCCTATAGGGTTTGCTTTATCTGCCCTCTACTTGCCCTTCTTTGGGAAATCAGTACAAAAATTTAGAAAAATGGCCGAATTTGACCATGGCAAAAAGCATGAGTCGTAGATTTTGGTAATTTTTCGAAAGCTCATTGAACTTGTGCAACTAGATTACAACCGCTAGAAAGACGATGAAGTGCTGCATCGAATGCTACCAAGACCTTTTGGAAATCTTGGTTCCACGAGATGTGACGCCCATTTGAAAAAAGCGACATTACTTTCGGAACGACATAATATTTTCCCGAATTTTTGAAACGTTGGCTGGAGCTGCTAATTATAGGTGTATAGGGCGGCCACTACTCAGCTTTTCTGCAGTTTGATGAACTACCCGCAAAAATGATGAATAAATATTCGCGAGACCGCGGAGAGGGAGCTATAACAATAAACTCAAATAGTGCACACGTATTTCCAATACACCCTCTACATATGTGTAGAACCCATTTTGATAAGAGGCTTCGCCAATCTCAATTGCCTGGTATGGAGCTGATAAAGAAAAAAATGTTAGCTTTGTAAAAGCGAGCACAGCAGTTGTATAGAAAAAAAAGCATTATTATGTTGAAACGAAGAAGAAGATCACTTCATTTGATTATATGAAAAGTTTGCCATAAGGAAATTATAATTTTTCTCCGTCTACCTTTTTTGACTGAGCTAACAAGGGAAGGATAGTTGGATGCCGCGGCCATTCCTAATGATTTGTATACCAAAAAATGCGCCTTCGAATGCAGATTCCGGATCTGTGCTCGAAATCTGCGAAACGATCTTTTGAAGAAAGTTATGAACTTTTTTCCTTGAAAATTTAGCCTACTTTTGGATAGTAAAAATCACCAGATTTGATCTAGCCTACCGTTTGATGCTACTGAAGAAAATTTTAGACGTAGTAATATTTACTTAGACTATCTGGATCATATTCAGCATTTGGAAAGGAGAGAAAATTTTTTTATTGATGATTTTGACCCTCCGCAACGCAATTTTTTTAATGAAAAAATCATAACTCCATTCAGATTATCGTTTCGCAGATATGAAAGACAGTCTACGAACCAGCATTCAAAAGCGCATTTTTTGATATACAAATCATTATGAATGGCTACGGCATCCAAGTATCCTTCCCCTGTAAGTTTGTGTTATGTCAAGTCTCTCTATAGCCACATGTTTTCCGAAATTACAATAGATAACAGCAAAGTCAAAAAAGAACTCAAGAGAACCAGATTTACTGCTTTCTTTTGCTTGCTCAAAAAACTTAACTACAGTATCATCGCCGCCGCCGTTAAAAACAGCGGATTTAGCGCGATATTGCGCCGGAAACGCCGCAAACGCGTGACTTCTTAGAAATCAATCAAGCAGAGGGAGACATATATTTGAAATCAGCGTTCTTCTCTCTATCTAATACCATATTTTGGTTTTCGAAAACACAATTTTTTTCATTTTTCCGATGACGTCACGGTAAACGTCCACGGTCCTGGGGTTTTTGGCTTAGAAACCGCTGTATAGCTCGCAATCAGTGAGATTTTCTGGTGCAAATCATTGCTTACTATGGAAGGACATTTCTCTTTGATTTCCATGAAGTTCTAAAGGTCTAGAAGTTTATTATTTTTATTAGGTGGGTCCGAAAATTCTGCCGTTTCATTTTCAAAAATTTGTAAGTTTGCGCTGGATCAACGGGTTTGCTTGTTTGTAAATCTATTGGGAAGGATAAGTGTCTTGCTTTCAAACGCTGTTTCGTCGAGCTTCTGTTGAAAATGGAAAAGTAAGATCACATAAGCTTGAACCATTTTAAGTTAGGCCACCAAAAATCTGGAACGCTGCAGAAAAATCTGAAATCATCAATACATATGATTTTCGGCCTGCTCTTTGCAATTGTGAAGACCGTATGCTGTTAAGACGTCTCTGTGAGAAGTTATGATTTTTGAGAAAATTGGCAAATCAATTAATTTTGGCGTTTTCCATAGTAAACTCGAAATTTATAACTTTTCACAGGGGCGTCCAAACAGCACGAACTTTTAACAGTTGCAAAGAGTAGGCTAAAAAACATATGTACTGACGATTTCAGATTTTTCTGCAGCGTTCCAGATTTTTGGTGACCTAACTTAAAATGGTCCAAGCTTATATAATCTCACTTTTCCATTCTTATCTCCGCATTCAGTATGAAACAGAAGCTCGATAGAGTAGTGTTTAATAGCGAAAGACACTCTTCATTCTTTACTCTCTATTCTTTCTAACAAAATTACAAACAAGCAAACCCGTTGATACAGCGCAAAGTTACAAATTTTTGAAAATGAAACGACAGGACTTTCGGACCCACCCAATAATACAAAAATTTTCTAGCTGAGCGAAAAGTTCAGATTTTGGAGATAAGTTACTCGAAAAAATCCGTGTTTATGGGCAAATCATTTAATGCTGAAATAAAGCAATTTTCTAAAAAGCCTACTTGGAATTACCCAATTGTACTGTTTTTCCTGCAATATATTTGAGCCCAAATCAGGTTGCTCATGCTTCGAATTTCATGTGAGACTACCTTCATAAGACCATATCTAAAGAATGGCATGGTAACGTGCCCGCATTTTTGTACAGTGATAGCGCAGGCTTTGCATTGAGTATTTGCATGCGCATGTGTGCTTTCTTGGAACCAACCGCAGCGAGATGAACTGAAAACTGCAGAATCACACATTAAGGATTTTTGACCGTTTCCTGGAATCTCACCAAACACCACAATTTTTATATATTCGGAATCTACACGCAATAGGCTCACCAAAAACATATATACTGGTCCCTCTATCGTCACAGAAAAATGAGCTGATTGATTATATGCGCCTATTTGGTCCACTAAAGGCCGCATGCACTAACATCCCCGCCGGGGAGGGGATCGCTGCTTAAAAGAAAGCTTCATATCCTGAAGCTCTAGATATCTGGATTTCACGCTGTCTACCTATCAGTGAGTATTCCCACCATCCTTCACTATGAACATATTGAACCGAAGCGAGAAGCTGTACAAGCCGCATTTTCCAGCTTTTTGTATGATCCCCTGATGATCCCCTGGGCACGAACGACTATTCTTTAAAGTCATTTTTCTTTATTCAAAGTTAATGAACATTCCAAGTTGTATTGCTTATCTAACCCAACAGTGCTAAGCATATTGATGATGAGAACAAATGAGTTTTCTGAAATATCGTGATTTTCGATAAACCCCAACTTTCGACCTGTGGTTCGTCGAAAATTTCATGAATCTAAAACATCATTTGTTATTATCAGCAACATGCTTAGCAGTGTTGGGTTGAATAAGCGATACAATTTTGAAATGTTTTCATTAACTCTGAAGAAAGAAAAATGACTTCAAAGAATAGACGGTCGCCCTAGGGGATCATCAGGGGATCAGACAAAAAGCCGGAAAATGCGGCTTGTACAGCTTCTGGCTTTTGTTTAATATGTTCATAGTGAAGGATGGTGGGAATACTTACTGATAGGTAGACAGCGTAATATCCAGATGTCTGGAGTTTCAGGATATGAAGCTTTCTTTTAAGCTGCGATCCCCTCCCCGGCAGGGATGTTAGTGCATGGCCCTATGTCCGCTTGGGTGCACCTGCACCCAGCTGCGGTGCATGTCGCACCTTGCAGATGCAAAGGTGCGAAGAATATGTTGCGGACAATAAGACCATCGATCGACTCTACAGAGCAACTTTTCACAACTAGGGCTTATGGAAAGCTAAAAATTTACGGTTATACTTTTAAGGGATTGTAGGTACAATTACATAAATGGAAACAGCCTAGATTCCTTTGTTAAATCTTGGAAATTCCGTTTCCTCGATTTCCAAGTAAGGATAAATACAGGAACGATACAAATGAGTATCTAATGTGGTGGGCAATTTTTGTGAGCAAGTTGAGATCCGTAGGATTTGTTTGAACAACGGTATGAATTTTTCGCGATTTGAATTTTCAGTGCGACTCAGAATTTGGGTGCAAACCTACAGTGGATCGAAGCTGGTGCGAACTTTTGCA